CTCCTCCTGCTCCTTCTCCTGCTCTTCTTCCTCCTCCTTCTCCTTCTTTCCTCCTCCTCCTCCTCCTCCTCCTCCTCATCATCATCCTGCTCCTCCTCATCCTCCTCCTTCTTCTCCTCCTCCTCCTCCTCCTCCTCCACCCCCTCCTCCTTCTCTCACGAGCGGCGCATATAGCCGCGTCCGTCCCCTCGCGGTCCGAATTCTGGGGGGCGATCCCGCGGATACGCGGTCGCACGGATGCGTTCCACGCGGGGAATCCGCGAACACAACGCCCCGTATCCGCGGGGTCTCGGCCCAGGGGCCTGGCCCGCAAGGCCGCGGATGCGGACATGTCTTTCGCTCGAGAGAGTAGGCCTCAGGTGGCCCCAGCGATCCGAAGAGCCAGATGTGGCGAGCGATGCACTCCTCGGCGGCGCAGCCGCAGTCGCCGTCGCGAAGGGCGAGAAGCGCAGGGTATCTTCACTGGCCGCGGCCCCAGGGGGCGGTGTGACGACGAGGCGAAGCCCCGGCGCAAACTCACGCCCTTGACCGCGAGTCCAGCAGAGTGCTCGACGCGCAGACGCGCACGGGACAAAGCAGGACCCAAACGCGACGATACGCATCTCTGCGCGTGTGCTTGGTGCGCCCGCTGCGCAAGAGCCGCGCACAGCCCCCGCTGGCCGACGCGCCCACGTGACAGGGCGACGCAAGATCCAAGCGCGACGATGCCTCTGCGCTCCCAGCGGTCCCGGCGTGCGGCCGCGGAGGCACGAGCACCCGGGGCCTGACCGGCCTGCGGCGGCGGGCGCCGCCGCCGAGATCCACCCACGGCCCACCGCCGGCCAGCACGGGCAGCACGAGCCAGAAGCCGAGCAGCTGCGCGGCACGGCTGGAGAGCGCGAGCGAGCTGCGGCGGCGGGACGTGCCCGCGGCCGCGCTCGGCGGCGCGGGCGCCCGCGCGGGCCCCAGCGGCCGCGAGGGGACACCAGCCGCGCGGGGGTGGGCGCGGCCCGTCCTATTTTGGGGCCCAGGCCCTCCTCGCTCGCCTCCTCCTCCCCATCCTCCTCCTCCTCTTCCTCCTCTTCCTCCTCCCTCTCCTCCTCCTCCTCCTCCGCCCCATCTTCCCTCCCAAGACGACACCCGCGCCGACGCCATCGCCCGCGCCCACGCCCCAGAAAGACGCCGCTGACGCCGAAAGGCGACGCTCGCTGGCCGCAAAGGGTGGCGGCTGGGCGCTGCCTCCGTTGCGGCGGCGGCCTGGAGGGCGGGCGGGCGCGCGAGCGAGGCTGCGAGGGGAGAGAGGCGGGAAGAGAGACGGAGAGAAGAGGAGAGGGAGGGAGGGGGAGAGAGACGGAGGGAGGCAGAAGGGAGGGGGAAGGGAAGGAGAAAGGGAGGGAGGGGGAGTGGGAGGGGGAGGGAGGGGGAGGGAGGGGAGCATCACATTGGGGAAGAGAATGAGACTGCTGGGCCCAGAGTGGCCAATGGCCATCCCGTGCCAACAATTGATGGGGTCTGGCGCCTGGCTGATGACCGTGACGTGCAGCCCAGACGGGACGAGACACCGAGGGGCAGAGGGACCACTGGTGGGTAGCATGGGCGAATCATTCGCCAGTCGCTTAGCACTTGTTCGAAGTGTTCCTAGTCCTCCTCCTCCTCCTCCTCCTCCTCCTCCTCCTCCTCCTCCTCCTCATTCCTCCTCCTCCTCCTCCTCGTCCTCCTCCTCCTCTTATTATTATTTGTTGTTACTATTCGTATTCTTGTGAGCTTTAATATTCCTGTTAGTATGACGCATCTTCCTATTAATAATACTAATATTAATACTATAATTCGTAGTATTATTCTGATGATGGTTACTGATAATATTAGTCATATTATTAGCATTAGTCGTTCTCTTATTATTAGTAATACTAGCATTGACATTATTGTTCTTATAATTAAGTATTATTATTAATCCTCATCATCATCATCATCATCATCATCATCATCATCATCATCATCATCAGCAATAGCATCAGCATCAGCAACATCATCATCATCATCAGCATCATCATCATCATCATCAGTACCGTCGTCGTCATCTTCATTATCGTCATCAGCCGCATGATCATCATCAGCAGCAGCATCGTCGTCATCATCATAATCATCATCAGCACCATCAGCATCATCAGCATCATAATCATCAGCATCATCAGCATCTTCTTCTTCTTCTTCAGCATCATCGGCATCATCAGCTTCATCAGAATCATCATCGACAGCATCATCATCAGCAGCAGCAACAGCATCATCATCACCATCACCACCATCATCATCATCATCATTATCATCATCATTATCAGCAGCATCATTACCATCACCACTGGCATCAGCATAAAAAACATCAGCATCATCAGCAGCAGCATCATCAGAATCATCCATCTCAGCATGGTCATCATTATCATCATCATCATCATCAGCAGCAGCAGCATCATCATCATCATCATCGTCATCACCATCATCAGCATAATCAGCATCATCATCATCGCCGTCGTGGTCAGGGTCGTCGTCGGTCCGTCGTCGTCGTCATCAACAGCATCAGCATCAGCATGATCTTCAGCATCATCATCAGCATCAGCAGCATCATTATCATCAGCAGCAGCGTCAGTGGTATCGCCATCGTCGTCATCATCATCAGCATCATCATCGTCAGCATCAGCATCAGCACCAGCATCACCATCAGCATCATCATCACTGTCATCGTCGTCAGCATCAGCATCATCAGCATCATCCTCATCCTCATCATCAGCATCATCAGCATCAGCATCATCATATTCATCCTCATCATCATCAGCAGCATCATGATCATCATCTGCATCATCATCATCATCATCATCGGCATCATCAGCATCATCATCATCTTCATCAGTATCATCAACATCACCATAGGTATCGCCATCGTCATCTTCATCGGCATCGTCATCATCATCAGCATCAGCATCATCATCATCATCATCGTCATCGCCAGCATCATCATCCTCCTTGGTATATCAGTCATCCTTCATCCTCTCTCCGAGTTCTTCTCTCCCCCCCCGTCCCGCATTTGCGCTCGGGAGCACGCGCGCGCGAAGCAGCGTGAGCCAAGGGGGTGATGCTGCTGTTGATGGTGATGGTTGCGGTGATGATGACGAGGAGGAGGAGGAGGAGGAGGAGGAGGAGGCGGAGGAGGAGGAGGATGAGGATCTGGTTACGTAAGACCAACAGGCCCAGCAACGCAAGACACTTCACAACGTGCCAGCTTCCCAGGCGATGCGTCAAATTGAACAGTAGTGGTGATGGTGGTGACGGTGATGGTGTGATGGTGGTGATGGTGGTGACGATGATGGTGATGGTGGTGACGACGATGATAATGGTGGTGATGATGGTGATGAGCTTGCCTCCATACGGTGATGAGAAGGGGAAGGAAGAGTAAGTGCGAGGGAGAAGGGAGGGGGTAGGGAGGAAGGGTGAGGGAGGGAAGGAGGGGGAGGGAGGGAGGGAGAGGGGCGGAGCGGGAGGAGCAGGGTAAAAAGGAAGGAGGACTTGGGTCTCCGTCTGCAGCGGGCACGTGGACCCCATCCCCCAACACAGGCAGGAGCTCCAGCAGCAGGAGGAGGCGGTCCTGCAGACTGCTGGGTGAGAAGCACCATGAGCACTTTGGCCTGCCCGTCAAGCTTGAACTACTCATACTAGACGAGCGCGCTCCACTACTCGCAGAGTAAGTGCTCGCAAGTGGCCCGGATCCGCCGAGGGGGACTTGCGATCCATTACATCAATGCACACGTGTGCTTTTCGGACGTTTGCGAGTAGGCACTTCACAAGTAGTGGAACGCGCTCTGTGACATACTCAAAATCCCTTATTAATCGTCCCCTGGGTCCGGTTTTTCAAGGCGCATTTTTGTAACTGTGGGGGGTCCGGTTTATTAGGGCGCTTTCTTTGGAGTGGAGCTTAGGGGGTCTGGTTTATGAGGGCGCCCCGTCGAAGAGGGGGGTCCGGAATAATAGGTCGCATTTGGAGGGGGGTCTGGTTTTTGGGGGGGTCGATTCATACAGTGCGGGCGCGGTCGCAAGAACCCCTCGCAAGAAACCCGCGCTCGAGGTGCACCTAAGAGGCCACCTGGAGCACACCGAACGCAACGCGGCAGCTCCTTTGACGGCCGCGGGAAGGCACCGCGCAGCGCGCGGAGCGAGGAGACCCAGGGCACCCCGACGAAAAGCATGTGGCTTCTCGCTGCGCGCCCCCACTGTAAGGGATTTGGAGTGCCCCGTCGCGAGCTGCCGGCCGCTGGCCTGCGCCGCTCCTGGGTCCAGCGGGAGGGTCCCGGTCTCAGAGGGCAATCCGCCGGCAGCGCCAGGGCAGCCGCGCTGCCCACCAGCCCCGCGGGCGACTCCGCCGCCGGCCTCTGCAGCTCCAGCTCCATGGACTCCACCTCCGAGCCTGGTGCGCTGCCAACACCTCCTCGCTGAGACTCTTGGCTTAAATCGGGCATGTCCCCCTACAGGCCGATTGTGGAGGAAAAATAAAAGACACACCCAAAACAAACTCCAAAAATGCTCCAAAATAGTGAAAAATAGTCCCCTGACTATTTCTTTACTATTTTGGAATATTCCCCCTGTAGAGGGACAGGCCCGACGAAACCCTCGGGCGGACCTCCTTGGAGGCCTTCTCCCGCATGGGCTCTGCGACGGTCCTCGCCCGAGTAAGCTTAAGTCGGGCAAGTCCCCCTACAGGCGGATTTTGGACGAAAGATAAGAAACTGTCCGAAAAAATACCCAAAAATGCTCAAAAAGAATCTGAAACAAAATCACCTGACTATTTTTTGACTATTTTTGAATTTTCCTCCTGTACAGGGACAGGCCCGATTTAAGAGTAAGCTTCAGGTGCATGGTGAGATGCTGCAGCCTGGCCTTGGCATTGCGCAGATTCTGCTGGAGCCGAACCACCTCCGACTCCACGAAAGCAGCCCCAGCATCCGCCGTGTCAGACGAATCATTGGTCGCATTCTTCCTGAACTCCACCGACTTCCTGACTTTCGCCAGCTCTCTGGACTCCCTCGAGGCCGCATCGTCGTGGACGACCTCTGCGACGGGCGCAGGTGTGAGCAGCTGCCCGGCTGCTGCTGCGGTGAGCTTGCCAAGTTGTTTCTGGATATCGTCCAGCATCTTTGCCTAGTATCGGTTAAGGGGCTGGCGCCGCCGCGGCAAGAGGGGAGGGAGAAGGATGATGATGATGATGAGGAGGAGGAGGAGGAGGAGGAGGAGGAGGAGGAGCAGCAGGAGGAGCAGCAGGAGGAGCAGAAGGAGGAGGGGGAAGGAGGAGGAGGAGGAGGAGGAGGAGGAGAAAGAGGAGGAGGATGAGGAGGAGTAGGAAGAAGAAGGAGAACAGAGGAGGAGGAAGAAGGAATGGAGGGAGGAGGAACAGCGATGAGGAGGAAGGAGAAGGGAAGAGGAGCTGCGTGGGGGGGGCCTCGCGGCGTGTCACGGCTCTCGTCCTCGCTGAAGTACCGGGAGCCTGGCGCACCGAGGGCACGAAGGCCCCTCGACGAGGAGGATGAGCAGGAAGTGGAGGGGAAGACCAGGTGGGGGAAGTGGGCGGAGAAAGAGGGAGACGATGGAGGAGGGAGGAGGGAGAAAGGGAGGCAGGGAGGGAGGAAGGGAGGGAGGCAGGGAGGGAGGGAGGGAGGGAGGGGGGAAAGAGGAGGACGAGGAGGAGAAGGAGGAGGAGGAGGAAGAGAAGGAGGAGGGAGGATGACGAGGGAGGAGGAGAAGGGAGGAGGAGAGATTGCCGAAGAGGAGGGGGGGAGGAGGCGGCAGGAGGAGATAGTGTCGAGGAGGAGGGGGAGGAGGGAGAGGAGGGAGAGGAGGAGATCGGGAGGAGAGGAGGAGGAGGAGGAGCAGGAGGAGGAAGACGAGGATACTCCCTCCCCTCCTATTCTCAAGAATCTCGTTCCAGTTTCACTTCAGCTGAGGCATGAGGCGCGATCGATTGCTGTGTGGGTGAGCGCCGGGCGAACCGATAGGGAGCAACAAATATGCCCACCACGCAGACAACTGACAGCAGCCTCTGAACTCACGTATAACAGATTGCCCACTTTCCCAACTCGCCTCACCCTGGTCACAAGGACGCAGAAGGTGAGTCCCTCCACCGATCAACCGAAGGTGTGGGACCATTGTGGCTAGAAGGGAAAATTCAACATTGGACCAGAAAAAAACAACACCACCCCACATACGGCCTCACGGGGCTTAGCGCATACCAGGCAATCCGGCGCGGGCGTTTACAAGGTATACGATACGGCCCACGATGAGCCGTAGCGCAACATGGAGGGCCGTAGGTGGAGTGGTGTCGTTTGTGTTTTGATCGAAACGTCTACTTCTGCTGTTCTCGATTGCCCATCACACTAGTCCCGTTTGTCTACAAAGGCGCCCTGACGCTCCCGCTGACGCGCAGCAAAGCGAACCGCACTGCTGCTGCTGCTGCTGCTGCTGCTGCTGCTGCTGCCCAGCCTTTCGCTCGCCTCAACTCTAGGCCTCCTCCCTACGATTATGGTCCATATCTTGGTTATTGTGTTTCTCCTCTTCCTCCTACACCTCCTACTCCTCCTCTTCGGCCTCCTCCTCCTCCTCCTCCTCCTCCTCCTCCTCCTCCTCCTCACTGCACGCCCTGGTTGCTCTACGCCCTAGCAGGCCTGTCTACCTGTCACCTCTCTTTGCCCTACGGTTTCCCAAGCACCGCGTGCGGATGTACACTGCCGTTTGTTGGCCACACCGCCTTTGCTCGATGTGTTTTTTTCTCCCAGGCGCTTCGATGACACATCCCAGTCCGTGCAGCGTACAAAAGAGGATCCCCCCTCTTGCTCCCGAGGCCGGCCAACCTCCGTCCGCGGTGTCGCGGTCGAAGCGCCAACCTTCCCCGCCAGCCGACGCGCGCGCGTGCCTCCAGCCGCTGCCCTCGGCCGCTGCTCCCCTCCAGTGGACTGCCGTCGACGCCATGGGCTGGGGGCCTGACATTCTGGAAGATCGTCCCCCTCCACAGTCTGATCGCCCTCTCCAAACTCCTTCGCCACCATCAGCGTCATAATCATCATCATCACCAGCATCATCATCATCATCATCATCATCATCATCATCATCATCATCATCATCATCATCATCATCATCATCAGCTTCATAATCATCATCACAAGCCGCATCATCACCTAAAGCGTCAGCATCCTCATCCTCAGCCTCATGATCACCAGCATTATCAGCATCGCCATTGTCGTCGTCATCATCATCATAATCGTCAACGGTAGATTGATCGCCATCCCCAGTACCAACAGATACATCAGTATCATCATAACCATCGTCATCATCACCAGCATGATCAGTTTCGTCATCAACATCATCATCCATCATCATCATCAGCAGCAGCATCATCATCGTTATCGTCGCCGTCGTCGTCGTGACCGTAATCATCATCGCCATAATCATCATGATACCAAAGAAAAAAAACAATCTTAATATGTTTAGGGCTATAGGTATATAGGGCAATAGGGCTATAGGGTTTTAGGGCCATAGGGCTGTAGGGCTGTAGGGCTACAGGGATATGGGGCTACGGGGCTCTGGGGCTATGGGGCTATAGGGCTACGGGCTATGGGGCTATAGGGCTATAGGACCATAGGCCTACAAGGCTATAGGGCTATAGGGCTATCGGGCTATAGGGCTATGGGGCTATTGGCATATATAGAGCAATAGGGCTATAGGGCTATAGGGCTATGGGGCTATAGGGCTATAAGGCTATAAGGCTACAGGGCTATAGGGCCATAGTGCTATAGGGCTATAGGGCTATAGGGAAATTGGGCTGTAGAGCCACTGGGCTATAGGGCTATGAGGCTAGAAGGCTATAGGGCTATAGGGTTATAGTGCTGTAGGGGTATAGGGCTATAAGGCTGTATGGCTATACAGCTATAGGGTTCTAGGGCTATAGGGATATAGGGCTACAGGGCTATAGGGCGATAAGGCTATAAAGCTATAGAGCTATAGGGCTAAAGGGCTATTGGGCTATAGGGCTATAGTAGGGCTATTGGGCTATGGGGCTGTAGTGCTGTAAGGCAATAGGGCTATAGGGTTATAAGCCACCTGGTCACCCGGGCACCCGGGCACCTGGGCACCCGGGCACCCGGGCACCCGGGCACCCGGGCGGGCCTCGGAAATCGGTGGCAAACCTCACCTAACCATATGAGTCCGCGAGGACTCCTACAGAGGCAAGCTCTGATTGGAGAATGAATCTGCTAGGACCCCTACAGAGGCAAGCTCTGATTGGGGAGCTCTGATTGGGGAATGAATCCGCTAGGACAACTAAAGAGGCAAGCTCTGATTCGGGAACTTCTCCCTGTCGCACCCCAAGGACAGTTATTAGGGTGGGCCGGGCCTTCCTCACCATTTCTGACTCTGAAGCCTAGAAATTGGCAACAGCTTCACATATGGAGGGCGGGTGGTTTTCAAAATGTGGCTCTCACCGTAGCGCCGCGCACATTTGTTCTGACTAGGGATACAAGGGCCATAGGGCTATAGGACCATAGGGCTGTAGGGCTATAGGGCTATAAGGCTATAGGGCGATAGGGCTATCGGGCTATAGGCATAAGTAGCTGTAGGGCTATAGGGCTACAGGGCTACCAGGCTATAGGGCTATAAGACTATAAGGCTACAGGGCTATAGGGCTTTAGGGCTATAGGGATGTAGGGCTATAGGGCTATAGGGCTATTGGGCTATTGGGCTATAGGAATATTAGGCCTGTAGGGCTGCGGGGATATAGGGCTATTGGGCTGTAGAGCTACAGGGCTATAGGGCTATAGGGCTATTGGGCTATTGGGCTATAAGGATGTAGGGACATAGGGCTATAGGGCTATAGAGCTCTAGGGCGATAGGGCTGTAGGGCTATATGGCTATAAAACTATAAGACTACTGGGCTATAGGGCTACCAGCCTATAGGGCTATTGGGCTATTGGGGTTGGGGCTGTAGGGCTATAAGGCTATAGGGCGTTAGGGCTATGGGGCTATGGGGTAATAGGGCTACAGGGTTATAGGGCTAGGGCTATAAGGCACCAAGGCACCGAGGCACCCGGGCACCTAGGCACCCGGGCACCTGGGCACCCGGGCGGGCCGCAGAAATCCGTGGCAAAGCTCACCTAACCATATGAATCCGCTGGGGCACCTACAGAGGAAAGCTATGATTGGGGAATCATCATCAACATCACCACCACCACCACCACCATCATCATCATCATCATCATCATCATAAACATCAACATCAACATCAACATCAACATCAACATCAACATCAATATCATCATAATCATCATCATCATCATCATCATCACCATCACCATCACCATCACCATCATCATCATCATCATCATCATCATCATCATCATCATCATCATCATCATCATCATCATCATCATCATCATTACCATCATCATCATCATCATCATCATCATCATCATCATAAACATCAACATCAACATCAACATCAACATCAATATCATCATAATCATCATCATCATCATCATCATCATCATCACCATCACCATCACCATCACCATCATCGTCATCATCATAAGAATCCTCATCATCATCGTCATCATCATCAACAACATCATCATCATCAACATCATCATCAGCATCATCATCAGCATCATCATCATCCGCATCCGCATCCTCATCATCATCCTCATCATTATCATCCAAGGGAAGGAGGGTGGCGGGCCCCTTGCCGGGCTTCCGACGCCCCCACCCAGGCTGTCAACCTCTTCCCTGGCATGCGAGGGCCAACGGGGGTGGGTGGGGTTCGGACGGTTTGGGCTCTCGTCGGGCCTCCGGGGGCCTCTGTGGAAGGGCCTCCAAAAACCTGCAGGGGCACCTCCAAAAACCTGCAGGGGCCAGGATCCGCGGGTCAGGATCTGGGGCGGGAGCAGAAACTGCCGCCTGGTGCTGGCTCGGTCCCGGGTCGTCTCTTGATGGCCCCCTTGGCCCGCAGCGGTCCTCCAGAGGTCCGCAGACTGCCCAACCAAGATGTGCCGCTTCGACGTCTCGGCTCTCCCGCGGCGGCAGAGGTCTGGGCCCTCCGCTCTCAAAGACCACCGCCGCCCCCCAGACATCTGCAGTGGCGCGTGCTGGCCAGGACTCTCGGGACGGACCCAGCCGCGGCGACGAGGGCGCCAGAGAAGGGCCAAGAGGGCCTCAACCTGCGAACCTCACTCCTCGACTTCGGCTCGCGAACCCCGATCCTCTAGCCTCGATCCGCAAACCTCGTCCCTCCCCACACTACGCACACCGCACGGCGCGGAACGCGCCCTGGTCGCTCGTGCACCCGGTGCCTCTGCTTCGCCCTCCGGATGTGACAGCTGGGTGATGCCGGCAGCTCCGAGGTGCGGCCCGAACGCAATACGGAGGAAAGGACATCCGAGATCCTCCTCCTCCTCCTTCTCCTCCTCCTCCTCCTCCTCCTCCTCCTTTTCCTCCTCCGACTCCTCCTCCTCCTCCTGCCCCCCCTCCACCCCCTCCGCCTCCTCCTTCTCCTCCTCATCATCATCCTCCTCCTCTTTCTCCTCCTCCTCCTCCTCCTGTTTCTTCTCCACCTCTTCCTTCTCCTCCTCCTCCTTCTCCTCCTCCTCTTCTTACTGTTGTTGTGCCTGGTCGCCCTATGTCCTCCTCCTCCTCCTCTTTCTCCTCCTCTTCCTCCTCATCACCATCATCAACATCATCATCAGCATCAGCATCAGCATCATCACCCACCACCACACCATCATCATCACCACCACCACCACCATGATCATCCCACCACCACCACCACCATCATCATCATCATCATCATCATCATCATCATCATCCCCCTCCTCCTCCTCCTCCTCCTCCTCCTCCTCGTCCTCCTCCTCCCTCCTCCCTCCTCCTCCTCGTCTTCCTCCTCCTCTCTTCCTCCTCCTCCTGGTTTCACCATCCTCCTCCTCCTCCTCCTCCTCCTTCTCCTCTTCCTCCTCATCCTCCTCCTCTCTTCCTCCTCCTCCGCCTTCTCCGCCTCCTTCTCACCCTCCTCTTTCTCCTCCTCCTCCTCCTCGTCCTCGTCCTCGTCTTCGTCCTTGTCTTCCTCCTCTTCCTTCCTCCTCCTCCTCCTCATCATAATCATCATCAGCATCATCACCATCAGAATCCTTATCACCATCTTCGTCCTATTGATCGTAGTATCACGATTGGTTCGTATGTGTTACTAGTAGTACCAGTGTTAGTACGGTAGGTAATACCATCTCTCAAATTGTTATTATTATTAGTAGTCGTCGAATTGTCTACTTATTATGAATGTCATTACTATTGATAGTATTAACTCTGATTCGTTGTATTAGTGGTATGCGTAATGCTATTCCTCTTCGTCTTGCAAATATTAGTTTAACCTTATCACTACTTTCATTCAGTTAAGTGTTAGCATTGCTATTGTTCGTGGCACTATAATGTTCGTGTTATGGCTTATTACTGTTATACTTACTCGAATTCTTATAATCATTATTGATATTACTCCTCCTCCTCCTCCTCCTCCTCCTCCTCCTCCTTCTCCTCCTCCAATGTTTTTCCTTATAGGACTCCTCTGAGTCGCAACCAAAGGCCAGTCGGAGGGGCGGGCCCTGCGTTTCGCCTGAAACGTCCTTACCACGTTTCATCCTGAAGCTCAGGAGGTGACAACGGTTTCATACATGGGGGGAGGGTTGCTTCCAAAAGGTGGCTCTCGCCTTAGCGCCGCGCACGCTCGTCTTACAAATTTGCAAGAGCTTCACGGATTGAGGGCGGGCCGTTTTCGAAATGCGGCGCTCGCCTGAGCGCCGCACACCTTTGTCAAATTACAAGAATTTCACGGATTGAGGGCGAGCCGTGTTCAATGTGCAGTTGTTCCCTGAGCGCCGCGCGCACTCGTTTTTGTTTTGGCATGTTGATATATATATATATATATATATATATATATATATACATATATATATGTGTATACATAAATATGCATATATAAGTGGCAAAAAAACACACAAACAAAACTTCATAAGTTGAGGGCGGCTCCTTTTTCAAACTGTGGTTAGCGTCTTAGCGCCGCGCACGCTCGTGTTTAATATTTGCAGAATTTTGCAGACATGGTGTTATGGGACGGTTCAGGACTGCCGAGGCGCAACAGTTACCTTGATTCGTGGTATTGAAGTCCCACGAACGGTGTTTTGGCACGATTCAGGATCGTCAAGACGCAACAGTCAAGTTGATTCGTGGTGCGGGAGTCCCGAGAATGGTTTCTGGCACGCTTCAAAATCTGCATTCGGTTGACTCCCAACTGGGCACTTCCCCCACTGGGGATGAATCCTTGCAGGTGCGTGTGACGAGGGAGCTTTGAAGGAGGGCTCAATGCGAAAACCGTTGATGAACCTTGGGCTTACACTGGTCCTCATCCTCCTCCTGTCCCTCCTCATCCTCTTCCTCCTTCTCATCATCATCCTCGCCTTCCTCCTTCGTTTCCTCCACCTGGTTTGGCTCCAGGCTCTTAGCGTCATGGAACATGAATGTCTTCAGAAGTTGCCATCCCCACTCAGGGGCGCTTGCCATCGAGCGAGGTTGATCAAACTAGTGAGCCACGCGACTCCAAGGGCGGTCGCCCCTGGAGTCGCCAACTCTATGAAAAGAAATAAAGACGGGCTGACAGCAGTTGATCAAAAGGGGGGAAAAGGGGGGAAGGGAGAGCACATCAGAAATAATACTAAGAAGAAGAAGAAGAAGAAGGGGAGGATTGGGAAGCTGAGGCTGCGTGGCCACACTCGCCCAGGTGAAGGCGCAAACTCCTCTCCCCCTGCCCATGGGAAGAACCCACCAAGCGCCCATCGATCCCACGACGGGCGCCCTCACCTGCAGCGCAAGCGTGGGGCTCCCGAACGAAGGACCGGTGGCCGCCTGAGGGGGTTCCACCGAACGCGGGGGAGGTCTGCGCCTTCCGCGCCAGCGGCCACAGACGTGAAGGCGGCGTGGCGCAATTAGCCTCTCCCCTATCCAGATGAACCTGTGAACCGTCCTTCTCGTGATGGTAGCCGTCGGCAAACAAAAATAGATGTGGCGTGCAGTCGCGAGCGAGCGGCAGCGGTGCTGCAATGAAATTGCGAGGAATGCGTGAGTGGGACATTGAGGCTACGGCAAAACACACTGCGGCTGAGTCTCGGTGCTGCGGGCCGCGACCACCCATTCTCCAATGCAGCCGGTGGTAGGTGTGCACTTAGTGCGGCTGCTGACTGTGAAGTCGCAAAGGCTGGTGTCCACATTGCGTCGTCGCTGCTAGGTTGAGGCTCTGCTCGCCGCAGCCTCCCAGGCCAACGCTAGGGGGCCGTCGGCGGTAGTCACCCCGTCACCCCCCACCGCCAATCCCAGATTGGTGGCCGTCGTGCGGAACGGGCGAGGCAGCAGGATGTGGGTAGGAAAGAGTAGTGGAGGAGGGTTCAAAATGATGGGCTGTGTGGCATATGCGCTGCGAGTGCGGCGCAGCCGCGCTCACCAAAGTGGATGACTCCAGGGCCTCCCCGTAGGGCACTCCGTGGTAGGGGCCCCACTCCCGCCTGAGGAACCCTCCCCCGCCGAGGCAGGCGATGAGTTCCGACTGGGGGGACAGGGGCCCATCCAGGGGTGCCCAGTGCGGAGGCGGAGGCTTGCGCCATCCACGCTGGGGGCCGCGGTTGTTATCTCCTCCACCCTCCGCCTTCGTGCCAGTATAAGCCTAAACCCAGTTCCCGCATACGACCATAGGTGAATGCCAAGTGCAGATTGCATGCGCTCCTCCACCTCCTCCTCCTCCTCCTCCTCCTCCTCCTCTTCCTCCTCCTCCTCCTCCTCCTCCTCCTCCTCCTCCTCCCTCCTCCTCCTCCTCCTCCTCCTCCTCCTCCTCCTCCTCCTCCTCCTCCTCCTCCTCCTCCTCCTCCTCCTCCTCCTCCTCCTCCTCCTCCTCCTCCTCCTCCTCCTCCATGTTGGGGGGTCCCAAAACGGTGCTGTAACAGACCGTGCGGTGACCTCGAAATCCCCAAAGGCCTCACCGCACGATCCGTCACCGCGCGGTTTTGGGACCCTGGAAGCCCCAGTCGCCCGAGATGTCCTCGAAGAAAGACCCAAGTCCCAAAACCGTGCGGTCACCCGGAATCCCCGCTGACTCACCTCACGGTGTGGTCACCGCACCGTTTGGGTACCCCCGAACACAAGACACTTCCCACAGGCTGCAGTGGAGACGGAGATGGGGTCGCATCGCCGACGCATTGCCGATGCATCGGCGACGGCCAGATGTAGAAAATCGGGCTCCAAATGGCGCTGCATCGCCAATGCATCGGCGATGCGGCGCGATCCTCAGACCCCCGTCTGTTGCAGCCCCATCAGGGGGGCATGACGAGAGGACACCCAAGAAGACCCACGACATCTCTGATGGGCGTCTAGGGGCGATCCCCAACCCAGGCTCGGCACCGACCTGGGCTGGCCAAGGCATTGTCGCGAACCTGGACCAACCACCAACGAGCTCCCAGACTGGGGTCAGCGGAGTGAGAGGAGGCGGCTCCCAAACCTGGGCCAGCCAGAGGGGATCAGAGGGGACTGGCTGACCCCCATGACCTGCGCACCGATCCCCTCCAATGAACGTTCGATTCAAAATTCGGGTTTCAGGCGACCGCTCGGAACGATTCTGGCACCCCCAGAACGTCCTCGACGAGGCGCAGCCCACGGGAACCGCCCCGGGCCTCGAGAGCATCGGAACACTTCCGAACCTCCGGAAGAACGTCCGAAAAGCTTCGACAGCCCCACCCGCGCCCCGATCCCCCTCCCGAGAGGTGGTAGCCCGGCTCCGAGCGCGGCCCCGGCTTGCCGAGGATGTACTCCTGTGCCGCCCCCACCCCCTCCCGCGGCGTCCGCGACCAGCGGCCCCAGCGCGGCGGCAGTGCCCTGATTGCCGAGGACGCCGCCGCCGCTGGCACAGGCAAGGAGGAGGAGGAGAACTCTCATCTGGGCGTAGCAACGGCAAGATGCTCGACGATTCCGGCGTATGAGTACTGTTTCTGGCCCCAGGGGCTGTCAGAGGACCACTCAGGATAACAAAACAAAAAGGGAAGTGGTCGAAATCCACCGCGCCGACGTCCAACATGAGGCCGCGCCGGAGGGGAGGGGCCGAGGTTCGAACATCTAGGTTCGAAGGTCGGGGTTCGAGGGATCGAGGACCGAGGGGCCGGGGTCGAGGGTCTAGGGCTGAGGCTCAAAGGTTCGGAGGTCGCCGCTTGCCGTCTTTTGGCCTCCTGGGCGGCCCTTCGTCGCGACTCCCCTCAGAATCCTGACCAGCGTGCACCCCTGGAGAGGCCGGGGTGCTCATGTCTGAAGCAAGAGGAGGAGGTCGGGCCTGTCCCCCTGCAGGGGGATTTTGGACGAAAATGAGAAAAATGTAAAACATACTCCCAACATGATCAAAAATGGTTTTAAAAAAATCGTCCCCTGACTATTTTTTGACCATTGCGAATATTCCCCCTGAAGAGGGACAGGCCCGACTTAAGGCTGGAGGCGACCTGGCCAGAGCTCTGGGCCCGTGGGCTGGGCCTCACGAGTCCTCGGCCCATGGTGGAGGAGGTACGCCTCTCGGTGGGGTGTACCCGGGAGGGCCCACGCATTGGCCCAGGCTGGGGAGACCAATAGGTACCGATACCGCTACTCCCCGGACCTCTCCCGGGGCGCGTTCTGACCAGGACTTCGAGGCGAATCCAGCGGTGGGTCGACGAGGGCCCTACCAGGAGGTCCAACAAGGGGAACATGCGGGAAGGGTAGCGGTACTGTAGAGGGAAACAATTACTGAACACTCCCCCTCCCCCCCAAACTCCAAGTTGGCACGCGCGGGGGAGACTGCGGCCGAGGTGCAACTCATCAGACCCACCGCCAACTCTGAACACTGGGGGGGAGGGGGAGGCGCTGACAGCAGATGAGTGTGGCACGAGTGTTCGCTCTTTTTGTCCGAGGCCTGTATGGGTACCCCTTGATCACGTCCTTCCTGTGCCCTGTCTCCCCAATTACAGCTGTGCGCAGCCCGCCCAGCTTTTAGCGGAAGAGGTTCGAACTCGCCCCGCAGATCAAAAACTGTATGGGTACCTCGTCCTCCTCCGAGCTCCAGGGATCCGGTTGTCCCTCCTGCCTGGCCGCAGCGCGGCACCCAGCACGCCACAGGGGTCCGGAGGCCCTGCCGCCTCCCGAAGGAGGGCCGCAGCGCCCTGGTCGCGCTCCGTGCACGGCTCGTGGACCCTGCGCCTTTCCACGCGCGCGGCGAAGGATCCGTCCACACCTGCCAGGCTCGAGCACGTGGAACTGGACCGCCCTGGACCCACACGGGCGCGGGAAGAGAACGAGGAGGAGCAGCAACACCAAGCACCGATACCGCTGCCCCCCGGAACACTCCCAGCGTGCGTTCTGACCAGCATCTCGAGGCCAATCCAGCGGTGGCGACGAGGACCACTCAGGAAGCCCAAGGAAAGGGAAACAGGCGGGAAGCGCACCAGTATCGGTACCTTCTCCTCCTCTGAACTACCTCGCTTGCCTCCAAGGGCGCCTAAGTTCGCGCTTCGCGCTACGTGAAGCGCGACAGCGCGAATCACTTCGCGCTCTCGCTCCGTCCCCCAGGGAGAAGAGGAGGACGAGGAAGAATCGGAGCCGAGACGCGAAGCGCGAAGCGCGAATAACTTCGCGCCCTCGATGGCGCGCGCCCTTGGCCTCAGTCCTGGAGTTCGCCGCAGTCGGCTGCTCGCGAGCAGGGTGGAGAGATCGCTGCACGCTCGTCTGCCGCTGGCGCCGACGGATAGCGCGGCGCGGCCACAGCGCCTCTACGCTGGGCCGCAGCCAGTCGAAGTACCACACGGAGGGGAAACGAGGCAAGACAGAGGGCAGCCACTGAAGAAGGATTATATATATATATATATACATATCGACTATACAGAAATTAACTGCCCCAATCCCTTTTCCCCTCCGAGTGTGCGAATGATACGCAGAGCGCTCCGTAGATCTGCGGGGCGTTCTGCGCACTCTTCGCAGAGTCGAATAGGGCATCGACTGCACGGATGCGCGCTGCCCCAGGATTGCTTCTTCCCGTCGCACATACGGAAAAAAATGACGTACAGAAGGTGGCTCTCGCCCCAGCGCCGCGCACATCCGCTCGTCCTGTAGAGGTTGACACGAGATGCACGGAGCCCTCCGAGTTTGCGAGAGATTCGCGGATGGAGGGCGGGCCGTTTTCCAGACGCGGCGCTCGCCGTAGCGCAGCGCACTGGGGCAGATCATTTCAGCAGTCGATCCCCTACCCGATCCCCCTTCCGCGGGGGCGGCTCCGCGGCTCCGAGCCTCGCCCTCGCCCCCGTCGCTCCAGCCCTTGCATCTCGCCCTCCTCCTCCTCCTCCTCCTCGTGTCTTCGTCTGTCTGCGTCATCTTCCACCTCCTCCTCCTCCTCCTCCTCCTCCTCATCCTCCTCCTCATCATCATCCTCCTCTTCCTCCTCCTCTTCCTCCTCCTCTTCCTCTTCTTCCTCCTTTCCTCCTCCTCCTCCTTCTCCTCCTCTTCCTCTTCCTCTTCCTCCTCCTCCTCCTCCTCCTCCTCCTCCTCCTCCTCCTCTCCTCCATCTCATCATCATCATCATCATCATCATCACATCATCATCATCATCATCATCCTCATCTCATCATCATCATTCATCATCATCATCAATCTCATCTCCTCATCTCATCTCCACTCCCTTCCCCTCCTCCTCCTGCTCCTCCTCCTCCTCCTCCTCCTCTTCCCCCTCCTCCTCCTCCTCCTCCTCCTCCTCCTCCTCCTCCTCCTCCTCCTCTCATCCTCCCTCGTCCTCTCTCTCTCCTCCTCCTCCTCCTCCTCCTCCTCCTCCTCCTCCTCCTCCTCCTCCTCCTCCTCCTCCTCCCCCTCCTCCTGCTCCTCCTCTGAACGAGCAAGTCGAGCAACGACCCTTTTCCATACCGTCCGGGGGCTGACGTCGTTCCCGTGCACCGCTTCCAATAAGCACTCCCAAAAGTTTCCAGGACCCTTCTGGGAAGCCCCGCCCCCTCCCCCCTCCCCGAAAGTGACCGAAACCGTCCGAAAACCTCGGTGGCCCTCCCTCTCTGCGCGCCGCCAAGGACGGGCACGAGAGGCACGAGCCCTTCCCACAGACATCCGACTGTGTTTTTTCCACAACGTGGCTCCCCACCCCTTCCCAAGGACCGCTTTCTCCTGCTGAACAATCCCACCAGCCCTTTGGGCGTAGGTGCTCAAGGGCGGCTTCTCTTCCAACCCCATTATTCCCCGTGGGGGAAGGGCTTTGTCAGCGTTCCCTATGAATATACACCCCCTCCCCCAGGCGACGGGCAGCCAACTAGGAACAATGAGGACCTCATGACGGCCCCCCCCCCACCACCCCTGTCAAAAAACCATACGAAGTACGTTATCGGGCAAAGTCCGGGGTCATGTTCGTGAGGCCCGCTAGCACTTTGCTTGTTTTTTGACCGGCACGGCGGGGGTCAGCATATTGCCTGGTGCGCGCAGGGCTACCATCCCTGACAAAAGACCATACAATATGCACCTTGCAGCTATATCTGGATCATGCGCGGCCACCCTACGATCAGTGTTCAGAGGTTTTTGACCAGGACGGCGGGGGTAGTGGCGTATGGCCTGCTGTGCGCAGGCCCACCACACACAATGATGGGCACTGGCTTTCGGCAAGGATGGTGGGGGCCGACATGTTTCCCGATGTGTGCTGTCACGTGCGCAGGCGCACCTGACACACTCTGCATGTGCCCCGAACGTGGCGCACCTGGCGCGGCTGGAGTACGCGGCACGCCTGGCGCATGCGGAGGCACGTGGCGCATCTGGCACACCAGGCGTGCCTGGTACGCTCGGGCCCCAGGGGTGCCTGGCGCGCGTGGCGCGCCTGGCGCGCGTGGCGCACCTCGCCCTAGCGTCGCGCACATGGGCTCGCTGTTGGTTCCCAGCAGCTGCCCATCCAAAGACGAGCGCTGAACATGCTGAGGCTCGGGTGTTATTTGTGTGTTGGTAGGGCGGGCGGGGGTGAGCTAGACGGCTTGCTATATAGGAGGGTGTCTTGACCCCGCCCTCTACCCCCTCCCCTGGACCTGGATGGGGGGGGGTCGCGAAGTGCCAGAAGGGTCCTTTGGGGCCCAAGATGGCTCCAAGAACGCCTCAGAGAGCCTGGGATCACCTCCAAGATGGCTCAAGATAGCCCAAGCTGGCTGAGTATGTCTTCCAAAATGCTCCAGAAGGCCCCAGGACCTTTCCAAGACGGCTCCATTTTGCCACGGAACCGTCCACGGAACCGTCCACGGAGGCCCCCGAGAGGCCAAAATCGTACAAAAACCTGGGGGAATCAACGAATGTTGCATTATCGAGCGAGCGACCCAAGAGCGCTCGAAGAGGGGCCCAAGAGGCGATTTTGGGGGCTTCCGAGGGGAGAGGCTGGAACCACCCTTCTTTGCTCGAGCTCTTCCAAGATGGCTCCAAGAGGGCTTTGGAGGCCCCCAAGACAGCTCCGAGAGGCTCCCGAAAGGCCCCCGAGAAGCCCACAAACGACCCCCAAGAGGCCCCAAGAGGCTCCCAGCGGCACACAAGACGTCCCGAGAGGCTCACAAGACCGCCAGGAGGCACCCAAGACGCCCCAAGAGGCCTCCAAGCAAGTTTCCAAGAAACATCTTTCCCCCCTTAGCTGTCATGGGCATCGTTTCCGGCGGGGATATTTTTTGATCGCGAGCGACGCAGGCAGCTGCGCGCCGTCAAGGTAGTCAGACGACAGGCCAACCTAACAGGACAGGCGGAAAAGGCCACAACGGCGAGAACTACGCGGCGGAGGAGATAACGAATGAGGGATCTGGCGGGGATATTTGAAGCGTCAAGAATCTCCTGACAGTCCCGGAGCCCAGTGAGGGCCCCAAGAGGCTGAACATTGCAGCACCGACAGCAAAATACGCCCGTCGTTTCTTCACGACGCCAGAATGTCTGGGCACCGTACGGTCTGAATGGTGAGCGTTTTCTTATTCGGCGTTTCAACATTGAGCGGAAGTGGGGGGGGGATGCGGCGGGTCTGGTTCTGGACCTCTGCTGAGCGAGACTGTTTGGAACAGTGCTCCAATGGGGAATCCTATGGAGAGTCGTCCACCTGCTTGAAGCAGGCGCCCGAAACAGCAAAGATCTACTCCATGGGGGGGGGGAGGGGGGGGGGAGGTGGCCCGCGCCGATCGGCAACACGACACGCAAGAGAACGACGACCGCCCCCCTGCCCCGCTCCTTCTTGTCGCCGCGCTGATCGCTCTCCTGGCAGCGCGGGCAGCTCCGTCACACGCGCCGCGGCCAACAAGAGGCAGGCAAATTAGGCAGCCTGCAGCGATCTGGCGCCGGAGACGCCAACGGTGGCCCAGGAGGCCGCCAGCGAAGGACCCGATGGGTTATACGTTGCCTCTTCGGGGGGCCCTGGCTGGCCGATCGCGCCGCCGTCCGCGTCGAGTCCGCGGCGTGCCCGTCGAACCTTGGAGGCGGATGGGGGGTCCGAAGTGGCTGGGGCCCCAAATAACATCGGTCAAGAGGGGGGGGGATGCAGGCGAAGCCGCTCAAAGCCGGTCCCCAGAACCCTTCCCGGCTCCATCCGGGTGAGTTTTTCGCCCCAATTCGATTCCCGGTGGTCCTGGGGCCCGTACGCCGGAAACCAAGGCTGGCCACCTCAGCCCCCCAGCTGGCTCCAAGTCGAATCCGCGTCGAGTCCACGTCGAATCCGTGCCGAACCCGCAGCAAACCCGTCGAGTCCGCGCCGGGCACGAGAGCAAGGCCGCAGCTCTTGCAGGGCGGGCAGGGCCCCCCCGAGGGCGCAGCGCGAGATCGGCGGTCGCCAGGTCTGGTCCATGGCCCAGCACGCCCCGTGCTTGTCGCGCCACGTCGGCGACCCGTGGAGGCGAGGAGATCTATACGTGTCCACTGCCCCTGTAGGTGGCGACCTACGAACCCCTACCCCTACCAACCATCGATGCTCCTGAATCGACGGGAGGCGGGGGGTTCGGATTTCGTCGCGCGTTCGACGAATTCCGACCCCTGCCCCCGCCGCCCATCGAGGTGCCTGAATCATTGATCGGCGAGGGTAGGGTTCGGATGTCGCCGCCGACCCTGGCCAGGACCATCCTGGGTCCAGAAGCGATACATGTATACACACACATACATATGCATGCATAAATCTATATATATATATATATACAGATCATCTATCTATATATCTATCTATCTATATATCTATATATATATATATGTCTATCTATATATCTATATATCTATATATCTATCTATATATCTATATATATCTATATATCTATCTATCTATGTATCTATCTATATATATGTATCTATATCTATATATCTATCTATCTATCTATCTATCTATCTATCTATCTATCTATATGTATATCTATCTATGTGTGTGAACGCATGAAGGAAAAGAAATTCGCCGGCCCAACGGGCCAGAGGCGTGCTAAGATCTCCAGTAACTACTTAACAATATTTCTAGCTCGCGCGCGCGGGGCGGCCCCTGGGGGCCCCCGGACGAAAAATACCCGGCCGATCCCCGGCCGGATCCCGGCCGGGTCCTGGGCGATCCCCAGGGGGAGGCTATTTTTCGCCAACCCTCACGAGGATCGCGGCCTTCGAGGGGGTGGCTGCAATCGACTACCCCCCCTCCCGCCCCAAGGGGCCCCCAAGAGCCCCCTAAGAGGCCCCAGGGGAGCCCAAGACGCCGCAAAGGAGCCCAAAGACGCTCCCAAGAAGCCCCCAAGAGTCCCCAAGACGGCCCCGAGAGGCCCCAAATAGCGCTCCAGGGCCGGCGGAATGAGCGAAGCGATAAGTAAAGTAGCAATGCATGTATGTGTGCATGGATATACACACATATATACATTCATACAAAGATACATGCATACGTACATGCATACAGACAGACAGGCATACATAAATGCATGCATGCATACATACATACACACACATACATCCACGTACGTACGTATGTACACATAGTCATGCATACATGCATAGATGCAGAAATGCATACATACAAGCACATCTACATATACCTATACATCTGCATACATATATATATATATATATATATATACACAAATCAAAAGCCATAGACATAAACGTATACATATGCATAAACAGATCCCTACACAGACACATACACACACGTGTACACATACACGTACACATACACATGCACATACATGTGTCGCCGGCGGCTAGGCAATACATACGCATGTGCATGTGCATGTACATGCACATGTACATTTACTTGTACATGTATACATACATATACGTATACGTATACATACACATATCCACATACACCCAAATAGGCATAAACCTATATGTAAACATATACATGTACATCTACCTATACCTACACATGTGTATATATATACGCATACAAAAATCAACACGTACATGAACATATACGTACACCTGCATATACACATACATACAACTATAACAATAAAAGTATACATCCATAGGCACAAATAACACTACATACATAGACGCATGCATGTACCCATAAAACCCTACATACGCATACACATCCACATACATGTACGGATAAATCAGACACATACCTATGCATATGTACGCATGCATTAAACTGTGCATAGTGGGGTACATATACGCACACATACACCTAGACATACAATATGCACGTACGCATAAATACACATAGAACTACACATGTACAAGTACATGCCCCTATGTATATAGCTACATACATGGATAGAGACATATACATGTACATGTACTTATACACATACACAAACATTATACATACATGTACGTATACACAAATAGACAGATACAGACGCACACATCTATATATAATATGTAAACAAATAACAGCACATACGTACGTATATACATATACGTTGACAAGCACATATGCAGACAGTTATATGTGCAAATACATATGCAAGCACAGATACAAATACAAATAACATGCATATACAAACACCTATACTTATACATAGACATCGACAAAGACTTGGACATAGACGCAGACGTAGACGTAGACATAGACAAAGGCCTATATATACATATATATATATAGACATATGCGTATGCATATGCATATCCGCCACCGTGCCACGAGGCGCGAAATTTTCTCCAGGTCCTCAAGTATTCTCTGTTCTCTGTACCCAGGACCATGGAATTATTGTAGTCTAAGGGCTGGGCCACAAAAATCCAAACTTCCTGTGCGTTCCCGCGCGCGCTTGGGCTGCCCCGCAGGACTTCCAGAGGCCAGTGGGCCCCAAGACAAGCCAAGAGGGCCCCAGAAAGCGCCCAAGAGGGTCCAAGAGGCCCCCAAGACAGCCCAAGAGCGCTTCAAGACGCCCAAGATGGCACCAAGACGGCCCAAGAGCGCTCCAAGAGGACCCCCAATAGGGCCCAAAGAGGCAAGAATCACTATTTGTCCTAGTGTATTTTCGGTGTGGTTCGCGTTCTCGCGTTTTCGGGCTTCCGCCGCCCCAAAACGACCCAAGAGGCCCCCAAGAGGGCCCCAAGACGGTCCAAGAGGGCCCCAAAACGGCCCAAGAGCCGCCCCAGATCGCCCAAGAGGCCCCAAGACGGCCCAAGAGAAGCCCAAGAGGGGGAACGCGAACCGACAATTCGAGCCTTCCGCCCCGAGGGCACCCCGGGAGACCCAAAGCGGCCCCCAAGAAAGCCCAAGAGGCCCCCCAGAGGCCCCAAGAGGCCCAAAAAGAGGCCCAAAAAGAGGCCCAAGAGGCCGCCAAGCGGCCCCCGAGACCCCAAAACTCCCTCCAAGAGGCCCTCGAGAGGCCACCCACAATACCCAAACAAACATCCAAGAGGCACCTAACCCACAACCCAGTCACGGTGGCGTGATGGGCCGAAGGCCACTATCTCTCTCTCTCATTCTCTCTCTCTCTCTCTTTCTCTCTCTCTCCCTCCCTCCCTCCCTCTCTCTCTATCACTCTCTCTCTCTCTCTCTCTCACTCTATCTCCCTCTACATATAAACATATATCTAAACATATATATATATATATATACACACATATACTACAAATACTCCTCTTCCTATATTTTTACAAGCCCGGGCGGGGGGAAAACCCATCCCCCCCCCAAAACCGGACTCCCGGGATCTGGGGCTTAGGGACCCTCTGGACGGGCCTCGAAGCGGCCCCCGGGCCTCACAGGGCGCGTTGCCAAGCCTTCCCAGCACACATAGGGCGATCAGGGGGGTCATCGGAGACGTCCCAGAGACCCCCAAGACAGCACAAGAGCGATCCAAGAGTGACCGACGTGACCTCAAAATGGCCCAAAAGGCCTCCAGGACGGCCCCAAAGAGGCCTCCAAGAGCACTCCCAAGAAGGCCCCAAGAGGCACAAATCTTTGATTTTCCTATGGTTTTTGCTGAATTTGGGGGTTCTCCTCTTTTCGGCTTCCCGACGCTCCAAGACGGCGGTCTTCTGGGCGTCCGAAGCCGCCTGGGAGGCTCCAACATCGCCCCACAACCATCCGAAAGGGCTTCCAGGTAGTCCAAGAGAGCCCCAAAACGGCACAACACGGGTCCAAGATGGCCCTCAGAGAGCCCCATGGCGGCCCAAGATGGCCCCAAGACACCCTCCGAAGCATTCCAAATCGTGACCCGGTCGTTCAGGGAGACCGCGGTTGGAGGCAGGGTGGCCCGAGGAAGGTTCCAGAGGCCCCAGAATACGCCAAGGAGGCCTCCAGAAGGCCTTAAGAAAGCCTGAAACAACTTTTGTGAGGCCCTCAGAGGCTCTCCAAGGAGGAGCCTCCGCAAAAAAGAGCTGAGGAGGATGGAGAGAATGCACAGGGTACGGCGAAAATAATGAAAAAGAAACATGGAGGAAGAATAACGAATTACATTATTATAGCGGCGATGCCGGAAAAGGCGACAAGGAGTTATCTCTAAATTGTCGGCTTGACCTTCCTGCTATTCCGCCTGCATGCCAAACTTCAAGGACCAAGGTGCATGGCGCGAAGCGCCACTGCAGTCTTGTACATATATATACAAATATGCGTGCATATCTGTGTATGTGAGTAGGCACGTATGTATGTGTGTATGTATGTCTGTATGTGCGCATGCATAAACACATAGATACGTACAAATGTATACATATCTATATATATATATATATGTATACATACGCATAAGCACGTACATATACATGTATACATAAACGTAGACATATACATATGCCTGTATATATACTATGCATATACATAAACATATGCATATACATGTGCATAAGCA